TTGGAAAGAAATGTCAACGTAGAGGCATATTTGATTCAAAATAATACAACGATTAACGTTACATATATCTGAAGTCGTTAATTGTTAAACCTATCACTATTTTCTGACATTCTAATGTGTCTGGAATTCCGAATACGTTTTACTGTGACGTTAGAGATATAGAGTTAGGTAGATTGTCGTTATGTGCAACTTTACTCTGCGTCACAAAATATTCATTTAGAATTTTAGACTGTCATTATTATAATTCGAAAACAACTGACCCATTTCACACAACGACTAGAGGCAACCCTACGCCTAGGTCAGAGTGACTAACCATTGTTGTGTGTTGCTAAACACTCAGTACAGTAGCCAGCACATCAGTACAATTTTATTGCAAAATAATATCTATTTACAACTATGTTAGATGCTTCAGTGTTATGTTTTATGTTCAGTATAATACATTTGTAGGGCTTAGTTGTAACGCGTTTGAGAGCAACAACATACAAAAAGTATACAAAAGTTTTATAGAGCGTATAATGAATTTAAATCATTTATTTCATAATTCTCATTATCTTCACGATTTAGATTTATGTTGCTAAGAGGCCGAGTACGTAATGAAACTGCGTTTCCTGTAGCTATTGATCTAAAAAGAGCTACAGGATTTTTTTATATCAGCCCTAACTTTCCTCCCGCGGCTTCTCCCGCGTGAAAAAAGGGTTTGTTTTTAGGGTTTTACCAGAAGTTATTCGAATTTTTCTCGCCGTAAAACCGTAAAACCATCCCTGTACTTCAACGAACATTTAAAAAAAGAATTGGTAAATTTGATCCAGGCGTTGTTGAGTTATGCGCTTACCAACACATTTTGCGATTCATTTTTATACCTATTATTATAGAAGATATCTGACGCTACATAGGGTATATCAAATTGTAACTAACATAGGTACCCAAAAATGTTCAAAATTGAAAGTAGGTTAGTCTACATCTGTGTGTAAAGGTCATTGAATCTATGACATTGATCATTTAACGTGTTTTCGATTGGCACCACTATTGTGTCTGAGAGAGATCGCGTGTAGGGAATTGAAATGCTCTTAAAAGGCTTTTCTTACCTTTTACAGATTTCTGGAAAATACAAACTCTTTTATGTAATATTAAGCCAGCTTGTATCAGTGTGCTTACCATGAGTTTACGTTAGGTGTGTTCGCTAGCGAGTAACGTCAAAAAAATCTATGAAGATTATATTTATTGAAAGTAGCCGCTAGGGGCGCTGCACAATATGTCATACAATTAATGTCATTTTTTTACGCAGTCGCTAGCGAGCATACCTAACGTAAACTCATGGTAAGCACACTGAACACTCTAAAATTTCTTGATCAGTTCAGTACCTACTTACTTGATTTAGAATAGATACGTTACACCAATTTTGTGTTTACCTGTGATTCAGGTAATTCTTAAAAACTTGGATGAGAACTATCACGTGGTAACAACAACGAAAATATGACATCATACTTTGGCAATAGAGTCCAAATTACTCACGCTCCGCATTGTGAATCTGGTAGATTTTCGACAGGTGACTTCTAAGGCCCGGTTTCCACTAAGGTAAGAAGAAGTGTTTTGAATAACCAATCAGATTTCCTGGTTTCCTGAATAATCTGATTGGATATTAGGAAGGCGCTGGATGCAGGCCGCTACCAACCGGGCATTATGGAAATCATTTAGGGAGGCCTATGTTCAGCAGTGGTGGTCCTGTGGCTGAAATTATGATGATGATGGAAAATTTACCATCAGGTGAGCCGTTTTCTCGTTTGCCTTTGTCCCATGAAAAAAAATTCAACACACTTCCTCGCTCCGCTGTGCCTTGGTAAGAATCGGGCCTTAATCTTACATTATAATGTAAATGCATAACGTTCACGCTTGCTTATTTTTTATGAAATTAAAAGAGATAAAATTATAACATTGTGACATATTGTTTCGACATAATATGGTTTCGAGTGGTGAGAACCTCATTCTCGGTGGTTACCTCAACATTTTATGCAAATGACATTAAAAATTATGTGCTGTCGTGCGAATAGATTGTGGATTATTTATAAGTCATCAAAGGGGATTAAACAGGAATTTTCTAAGATGCACTCACTCGTAAAATTTTATCGTGACATTTTATCGATGGTAGACGATAAGCTCATAACATTTGTCAAGATTATATCGTGGCGCGTATTCTAGTCTATCTATTGAGGAATTTGAGAAAGTAAGTATTTGTCCACTAGAAAAAAAATTCACGACTTCAAGATTTTATGAATCAATACAATTGCTCATTTGAGATTTGACGAGCTCTTTTCGTTAGAATTTACGAATCTACTGAAACACCCGTGCACGATAGCAACTAAAAAGGTGATTAAACTTCTTGCTAAAAGTGTTACGAGGAACTGACAATGTCGCGTGACGATAAACGCGGATTCGGCTAAACAAAAACGTTTTGTGGAGGAACAGAGAGGTCTGTCATTTGCCGCACGCTGCACCGATGCCTGTCACTTAGGTCGCCCGTACACTATGCTATAATAAATGCTGAGACTAAACTATGTACTCGTATTTTTCCCGTAATTGCCTTTACCGAACTCCATTTTATCGATTTTTAAAATAAGATACAGAGATAGCCTGACAAACTCAGAAACTTTACTTCTTTATAATATTAGTACTTACAGATTAAATGCCCTTTAAAGGTAAGGTTCAGCTAATTAATTATTTGTTTACTGATGGAATTTAGATAAAGGTTTCTCTATTTTAGATATTTTTAAATATCTCTATAAAAATATAAATAAACCCCTGTCATTAGCAGAAAAAAAATCAAGCTTATATTCTTGTCTTGTGTGGTGTACAACTGTTCAATTAAGTGTGCTCTATCTAATGTTTTCACGAAGAAACTTGAAAGTTAAATTGTAATTGAAAAAAGTATTGTTCTACCCAGGTAGCATAGTGTACGAACAGCCTTAACTGGGTTATGATTTGAATACAAATCAACGAGTATTTATGTAATTGGCTTATTAATTAGTGTTTGTGCGTGAGCGCCTAATTGAATTGATTAATATGCAATTAAAACGTTGTCACTTGCTACTTTAGGTAAATACGTCGGTGATGACCAATTTGCTAAATATAGCATTAATGTTTCTTCCAATTTTTTATTCAAGGCAAATGATATGAGTTACGTAGATTCCGGATATAAAATGCATTTTCAAATAACGACGAATAAGGTCAGTTTCATAATGTCATGACAAATATTTTTATCTTTATTGTTACCGAACTGATCGACTCGATTGAGAACAATACTCGCAACCACAGCTGTAAAATGACGAAATGTGAAATGAACTGTATTAAATTAATGAGATTGAAATGTAATAGGTACATATTTTCAGATTGTCAATGTTAACCTTAATCCGATTATCAAGTTCACAGTAGCAATGTGAAGTACCTAGCTAATGACAGAATGTACCAAAAACAAAGAATGTATAAAAAAGATAAAACAAAAAAGTATACCTGAATATTATAAAAAAATCCATTCGTGGACAACATCCATATTTTAATCATATTATGACCCAGGTCACAATAAATTATTCCAATAGTTTATTCGTTCGTTATTCGAGGTAATATAGCGATTTAAAATATTAATAATATATGTCATTAATCTGGTGTTTAGTCACAGGGAGTGATTTCACCTTGTCTTCCAAATAAAAACATAGCACAAGTAGGTAGTGTAGGTACGTAAAATTCAAAATATTCAAAATTCAAATTCAAAATTCAAAAAAATTCAAATTGATGATTTAAATATATAAAAAATAAACTTTTACTCAGGTTCATTTAGTTTACTTTGCTATGAACAAAACTTTGCTATGTAGGTACTTAACAATTTTTTGATAAATATTGTTTTAAAACAGAGTTAGTTGTTTAAGTACATCTTAATTTACTTATCGATTATTACTTAAATTGCCACGCCACACATCCGCATTTTTACCCTATTAATACGACAAGTAATGCGTCCTTGATGACTAACATGGGTATTATGCAAAGAAAGTTAGTGTAAACACACCTTAACTAACTGTCAAATAACGGTTACACCAATATACTTACTATTGCTTACTTTATTAGAACTACACTAACACTTCACTACACTAAAACTAGACATTGTTACAGAGATTTAACACAAAAACACTAAATATAATCGTAATAAACACGAAACATTTTAATTCTCACGAAGCTGCCTCCGCGAAGTTCCGTAAGTACTGTCAAAAACTTGCACCACCGGTCTTTCTGTTCTGCATCTGAGAGTATAGGCGTCCCTCTCACTCACCCGACAAACGGTAGATTAGAAAAAGCAGGAAATATCCCTTTGGTGCCGCCTTCTCAGCTTCGCAGATAAAGCCTTTTTGCACTGGTAAAAGTAACGGGGGTTTCTTGAGATGCGTGAGTTGAAACAGCTTATATGGCTTCCCTAATGTGAGACAGAGACACGCGATGTACTAGGTCATGTTTGTAAAGGGCATACGTCATATGGCTTACATTAAGGTCACTGGAGTGAAAAGTTGAATTTTGGGATAGGATTACTTCGATATTAACTGGAGTGCCTAATTTATTATGGAGTATCATCAGATCAGATTAAAAAATATAATCACTAAATTGGTTCCCTTCTTCCTATATTAAAGCTTTGAACTGCCCAATTCGTTATGTACTGTAGTAGATTTAGACATCAGTTCTTTTTAATTATCCAATAACTTTGATAATGAATGAAAAACTTAACTAAACATTCATAATTTACGAGTTTTTTTTTTGTTTTTAAACAATGCCTGGCGCGCCATCTAGTCGTATTTATTAGAACTGAGTGTAGACAGCCGAGGTTGCCGATGCGCTTACACACGACTCTGTTGATCAACGTTTGGAAAAGCATTTCGTGTAGTATTTAGTATAAGCAATTGCCACTACGAGGTGTTTTCTTGCAAAGAAATAATGTCGACATAGTTGTAATTCTTATATTTATTTACAAAACGAATGCCCACATAATAATACTGTACAGAAGACTAAAACTAGACACAATGAAAACAAGTCGGTGGGCCACTTCACAGAGTAGAAATAAATAAATAGTAATAATTTAAAACACATTAGTTATTAGTCTTCAGAACTATTGGTGCTGTTTCTTTGTATTTCGACGTAGTCGCGAGAAAAACTTGCTCTTCTAAATCCTTTAGCGTATAAATTTAATCGACGTTTTCTGTTCATTTCTGAATTGGGATCCAACAAAGAGCTCAAAATTTTAGGTTTATGATTAAAACTTCTGTAATGACCATTATTTTGAGTAGTGGTTGTCGTTTGTTCGGTGGTTTCTTCGTGTATTGTAGTAGTATCAAAATATTCTTGTTCATTTTTTAATCTAGTCACGAGAGTCCTTGATTCGAAATCACCCATCTCAAAGCCACTTCTAAAATTTCGTCTGTTTATATCTGAAAAAATATTGTCAGACACATCAGATTCTCTATATTTTCTGTACTCTTCAGGTATTTTTGCATCTTCGTGACTAAATTTCAAAATATCTGGTGGTTTAGTAAACCAAACTCCTTCAGTGCTAGTCAATGTGACGTCAAAGAATGGTAACACGGTCGTTACTTGTGGTAGTACTGGTGGCTGAGTAGTAGGAGGTGGAACTCTTGCGTCTACAGGAATTATGCCTGAGCTACCCACATGATAATCTTCCACTTGTGTTGTTGACAGAAGAAAGGGAAGTTCAGTCGTCCGAGTTGGTATAAAATTCATTATATTGGTTTCTGTTGAACTTGTTACATGTTCTTTTATTTTGTTTATTTCAGTCGTTGTCGTCGATGTTTCTGATTTTTTATCCGGTGTATAAAGATTTATTTGTACGATCATGTTCGACCCCGCTGCAGATTCATTTATCTTTTCCCGTGAATTTATATTGTTTTCAACGTCGTTAAAGAGTACCTTATGTTCTTTTGCAATGCGAGGTCTTTTTGTTGGTATAGTTCTTCGTCTTGATGTTGATTTTCTTTTGAAAAGTATAAGAGGTTTTGAAGTTGTCAAATAAATTTTATCGAGTGGTGTTTTCTTCACGTGGTCAATTTTTTTAGTTTCTTCGCCTGAATGCGACTTCAGTGGAAATAAGTTTAGCATTACACTAAAACTTTTGGCTTGACTAAAGTTTGACGTTTCATCATAATGTGTCTCACTTGAACTTGGCGATGACAATATATTAGGTAACTTCTTTGTGTCACAACCTTGTCCGTGACATGCCCGCTTATGACTTGGTATTGGCCTGAACATTGGTATATGGGGCAAGTCTCTTCGTCCTCCTGAATTTGGAGAAAATTGAAGAAAACCATCTGCAAGAAGATTGACTTCACCCGGACTATCTGGTTTATATTTAAATAATGGATCTGCTTGATGATTTGAATTTACAAATCCCACTTTTTCGGAGCTACCCACTGACAAATCATGTTCAGATTCCTGAGATTTATCACGCAGCACGCTTGGTTCTAGGTACAATCCAGTAAATGCTATTTGTTTGCTAGAAGGTAATGTGTACATGTCTCCTATTTTTGCGTTTATGGTTTTCTCCAAATATTTAATAACCTGTTGAATATTTTTTAGCCTTTGGGCATTGCGGTAACTTTCTATCCAGCTTTTGGACTTGTAGGTTTTACTAAATGGGACAGGAGTTGGAGATTTGTATTCGAAAAAGAATGGCCGAGGACTAGTTCTTCTTACATGGGTCACATAGTTTGTTTTCAAGGTAGGTACAGGGGTAGGTGGCTTAAGATAGTTTTCTCTGTGCTCATGAGCAGTGTCAATAGTTGGATCTATGTAACTGTTCTCTTGCATGGCATTAACTAATAATGGCATTCGTTCGTAGTAATCCTGGTCGAATCCGAAGTAGCTTCGGTCGAGTCGGTCTGCGAATGGAGTATCGTTTGATACATTTGTGATGTCAAGTTTTCTGTTTGCTCGTCGTATGCTTTGTACTAAGCTTGATTCTACCGCAATCGCATATTCGTAGATTAGTAGAATTACCTGAAACAAAATAAAAAAAAATTATGACAAAGATATTTTAACCATTTGAAATCTTGTATTTTTTTTATTTTAGTTATGATTGTCTATAAACATGATAGAAATTGAAGGAAATAAATAGTCCAAATATTAATGTATGTAAACTTTATATCAAATAATACGTTTTAACATGATTTTATAATAGATCAAAAATATTGTATTTCATATCTGTATCGTAATCTTTGTTTTCGTCATGTTTCCAGTCGTTGCGATGAATCTCTAAATAAGTAGGTCGGTTGTGGGGTATCATCGAGTTTTGATTGAAAAATCTTTCGTTATTTTTTAGAATTTTCCATAAATCGGTTCCAGGTATATCTGGTAATTTATTTGTTAAGTTTTTGATAGCGGGTTGCGTTACGCTTTCTGTTCGTTTTACAGTGTACTCTTCTTGATATTCGTCTTCACGTGTCATTTTCTCTATCTCATCTTCCAATGCCGTGTTGTCTAAGCCCAAATAAAAAGGTTCCACTTTATGTTTATCATAATACGTATCATTGATGGTTGCGTTCTCTTTAATTTTAATAGGTGACGTTATTAATTTATATTCAATATTTGGTTTTGAAGTGTTATTCAGCTTCACTTTGTTACTCACGTCGCTAGAAATTGCTTTGGAAATATAACTATAGAAATGTGTGTCCGTTGTGGCTACAGGACTTTCTATTGTCGTAGTTGTAGATTCTGTTATGCTGTTTTCAGAAGTAGTAGAAGTAGTAACATATTCTTGAACTGTTGAAATAGGAAATTTGAAAGTTGAGTTGAAACGTTTGGTTGGTAGTAATTTTGATTTCAATAACTCAAAGCTACGAATATTAAATTTATTCATTTTATCTAATACATTATCCGTAGTCGTTGTAGTAGTCATATTGTGATCATTCTTTTTTATATTAAGCTGCATTATATTGTTAAGGCTTAAGGTGTCAGAATTAAAGTTAGAGTTCTGAGATGGTCTATCTGAATGAATGTTCTTGCCATTTGACTCTAAAATTGCACTTTCTGTAGTACTTAATTCTTTTCTAGTTGGTATCAGAATACTTTCAGTTGTTTTAGTATTATTTTGATTTGGCTCTCTTTTCATAATGTCTATCGTTGATGGCATTGGCGGTGTTGTTATTGATGTATCGTAATGAAAGTCGGTGGGATCGATGTGGTCAAACGCAGTTGTTGTTTGGGAAATGTCTGGATCCATTTCCCGACTTCCCCAAAATGACGATAATGTTTTTAGTTCGCTATTTTTAAATATATTCTTGCTTTCTAGAAAAGGTAGCCTTGAGCTTTTAGTAGTAAAATAGTCTGATGGAATAGTTGAATCTTCTTCATTAATTGTGTTAGTATTTCCTACTTTATTTGTTTCAAATAGTTTCAGATTACTTAAATATTTTAAACGTATCGGTTGCGTTGTTTTTTCTACTGGTAAAACTGTTGTTTTCTCTTTGCCATAAATGTTATCAAATTCTGAAAATTGTACAGGTATAAATTGCTTAATTGTCGTAACTGACGCTTTTGTATTGCTAGGCAAAGTGTTGCTTGGAGTAGTGGCAACTTTGGTTTTAGGTGGATAGAAGTCAGTGTCTGGGCGTGGTTTCAATGTATCGGTTTTTTGATCTCCATTACACGGAATAGGCTTACTTATTTTATCGTCCGGCATCATTTGTTGAATACTATTAAATATTTTGTCTAAGAGAATGCTGAGTTGTTTGGGACATTTACAGCTTATACTTTCATCTTGTAATGGTTTTGAAACCTTGTTTTTAGTCGATGTCTTTTTTGAGGTTTTGTATTTTTTATTGGATTTTACTTTTGTTGCAATAATTGTCGGCAGTTGAGATTCTTTCGGAAGTTTTTCGGTGTGAGCCTCGAGTTTTTTGTTTGTCATTGGTATAGTAGAACCTAAACCAACTTTCTCACTTATCATCTTTTCAACATATTCCATTATTCTTTTGTAATCTCGAATTTTCCTGTTTTTCGTGAAATATCCGGGGTCTTTTGTAGGTTTCTTGAAAAACACAATAGGCGAAGTTTTGTATTCTATAGTGTACAGTTTAGATGTTGGTTTTTTCATCCTAGCGTTGAGGAATATGTCTTTCTTGAATGAAAACTCTGTTGTAACTTTTCCGTCATATCCTGGGCTTGAACTGGAGTAATCTTCGATGATTTTTTCGAGGTATCTATTTTGTTTTAAAGCTTTGATGAGTATTGGTAGTAATTTGATGGTGGCCCGGTCGAAGTTAATCTTCGATTTGCTGAACTTTTCTTCAAAGGAGGATACTAAGGTGTCGTTGAGGAGGCCGATCCACCCCGCCTTTCCCAATGGCTGCTGATTGGCGTCGGTGTTCATGCCGTACTCCATGTAGACGAAGAATACAGTCTGAAAAAAGAAAAGAAAAAGATTAAACTAGAGCTATGTTTATTTATTTTCTTAGTATTAATTTATAACAGTTCAGATATTGTCTGTTTTCATTAATGTCATACTTTATCCTTTACGAGTATACTAAAACATAGTATAAAATCATACCATTAATAATAAATTTTATACAGAAAAGTTAATTTACCAACATCATATTAATCTTTAAAATAAAATTAGTAAAATTAATACAACCAAATTACGACACAGTAACAAGTTACTTACCCATAAATTAGTGCTAACAAAGTATTATAACAGTGTGTTAAATATATTGGCACATTTAGTTACATGGAGCATTACACAATAAGATCTCACAGAAGAACTAAAAGTGATATAAAAATGGTAAGAGGTCTCTAAACTATATATTAGAATGAACATAAAATAACTATTTCAACATGGAAATGTACGAATATTAAGTCAATTCTATGGCATGTTATTAAAGGTACTATCTTGCTACAAAAATGTAGAGTTTGATGTGATGGAGACTACACTAATGGATACAATTTTGGAGCTCATAAAATGGTTGATGACGTCTTCAAAAAGTGTGTTTTGCAACGTTACGATGGTTTCTTTAATAATCGCGCATGTAAAATTGTTTATGTCATCATACGTACTCTTTGTTTAATTGGCTTATACATCACTACGTATTATAAAACAAAGTTGCTTCGCTGTCTGTCTGTCCCTGTGCAGGTATTCTTTAAAACTACGCAACGGATTTTGATCCGTTTTTTTAATAGATAAGAGTGATTCGAGAGCCTTCAAGAGGAGGAAGGTTTTTATTAACCTGTGCGAATCAGGGGCGGGTCGCTAGTTCTTCATAATCGAATTTCTATTATTCCGTGACAAGAGTGGCTTCTGTCTGAGCTGAATGACCCTACTGGTAGCGCTCTAATATTGGCATTGAAAATTAAGTGAAGTATTTATCTCACACTTTTCCAGTAAAAATCCGGCAGGTATATTTATCCATAGGCAAACAACTTTCTGAATAAAATAATACACATAAAATATGTGTTTGTTCTTTATTTATGAGTGTAGTTAATCACAGACTAAAGCTAGTAATTAGTAGTAGTTACTACTAAGCTAACTAACAAAACAAGTTTTTCAAGCGTCGCATTTTTTCTAGATCAAACGTGTGAAATCCTCATCTCGCATTTCGCGTCCAGATTGTTCTAGGAAAACAATCAAGACAGTATAATGTGTGTTGTTTGGTGTTATTATGGACGTCATCCCCCGGTTCAGATAACCCGTCACGCACCGCGCCTGTCGCGGCCAAAAGAAAGCGGGCTATGCACTGGCCGATGGAGGAAACGTCAACACGTGGAAAAAATAATCGCTCGGTATCAATATTCAACGTTGAAAACGTGAAACACGGCACAGCTGTCTATAAAGGCGGTTAACTTTTGCCCGTAACTTCGCCCGCGTGACATTCAGTTTGTCAAAGATAAGCTGCCGCCGGACTATTGTGGTGAACCCATAATATTTTGGGGTGGGTTAACGCGACTATCAGTAATTGATGCCACACAAATTACTAATATCATGTTGGCACCAAAGTGTTGACTTGATAAAAAAAGTTAACTTATGGGAATAGTGGGGCTTTCTTTATTGACCTAAAATTATTTTGATTAAGTTGATAGAGATGATGACACTTGTTTTAAAGTTCATCTTTACATTTATTTTTTATTTTGTGTTGCAAGTATTCATCTGAATGCTAAACATAAGAATGTTTTAAATCCTACTTAAATAAGAATTATTTTCATCGCCTAATCATCATAGACAAAACTCAGCAGAAGAATCGGATGTTTATCTAACGAACGGATGAAACCACGATCTAAACATTTGAAAAATCACCCATTTGGAGTACACTAAGCATGTTTACAAACACAAGCGCAGGAAACAACAGCAATACCGACGCCCACAATTATGTACACAAACATATTTGTACAACAACACCGGCGCGGGCGCGTACGCTTGACAATACATGTAATTGACGTGAACATGTTTTATAAGACGACTTTTTACGCAGCAATTTGTCTAGGAAATATGACAGCACATCAACAGAACACTGGCACCTTAAGTTTGTTATTATAAGTGACATATTGCTACAAATTAATGTCCACTGTTGACTGTACTTGTTGATATATTTGTAAACATGTGTTTTGACAAGTTACTGCCTGAGATATAGATTGTTAGTGCAATTTGTTGCCGTCCTTCACTTTATATTTTCCGCTCTAGTAGTTGTTATATTCTAGTTAAAACCGCATAAAATTATATGAAAATTAACATGTGTCATGTTGAACAAAACTAAAAATTGTGAAATGATGAAACCGAGTGGAAATGAATGGCCTGTATTAAATCTGAATAAATGATTTGATATCAGAATTATAATTTAAAAAGTAAAGTGTCAACTGCCATTAAAAAATAAATAATCTAAATCATACTTCTGATCTTATAGATAGAATATAGAATGAACTCTGAGATTGGTGAAAAAATCTATAATGTTAATTTTCATCAGTGACAATGATCATTGTATCGACTTCGCGCGCGTTTATGTCTTTTCTATGAAAATCTCAAATTGACCGATTCTATGTATTTCGTTATCATTTCTTACAAGTATTAAAATATTATTATTTAATATTTCTTGTCTTGTGTGGTACTAAAAGTTTTCTACCTATCTATCGGACACTAATGTAAAAAGTCTTATCTTCCAAATATGGATTAGACGTAATTTAACACAAAAATAAAAGTGAAATATTGGTCGCTTCATTTTCAGTTTAATTGTCTTACTTTGTTAGGACATGCAAGTTTGCAGCCTGAAAGTTTGTGAAGTATTCCTTTTGTATGGCACGTTTAATTATCGGTTGAGTTATATCAGCCACCTGTGGTAACTCGGTAGGTCTGACACCACACTGTAGATGAAGAAAACTATTTTCCACCATTCCTATTAGCCTAGCCCCAGACCACAGACTTTTAGTCGGCCGATAACTGGGTCGGGCTGTTACTTAGTTTGAACGTGTGTGAAGTCCAACACTACACCTATTTGATATTCATACAAATTGGCAGCCGATCCAACTATTGGCCAACGGCCCATTTTTTTTATTTATAGTTAAAATAACTAATTGTTACATTTTTCTACTAATGGTTAAATATTAACAAAATGTAAACAATTATTTAAAAAATGTACTAAAAGTCAAGCTAACCATTATAATATTCGAAAAACATTTTTTTTCTGATATTTAACCACTTGTCATTTGAAATCTGTCAAATTTGACTTTTGGTTATTTTAACTACGAATCAAAAAACTGGGCCTTAGGACTCTGCGGGGTGTTTTGCATATTTTCTAAGAAACAAAACAGATAATATGATATACTCTGTGGTGATGCTCAACTCACACGCACAAATTCCATAAATGGCTCAAGTCAAACAATTAAATTGAACAAATGGGTGGAACATGGCTACTCGCCGTGGTATCTGCATGTGATAGAACATTAACATACATTCAAACACATAATGTCACGATTATGAGAGCACGGTTAGTGGAAGGAAACACTTTCTAGTGGATGGGTTAATGGTGTGAGACCGAAATATATGAGACTAAATAGGACCAGATCGTCGGTCCACCTAGTGGGAGGCCTGCCCACGCTACGTCTTCCAGCTCGTGGTCGCCACTCAAGAACATTCCTGCCCCAGCGGCCATCAGCTCTTCGAGCTATGTGCCCCGCCCACTGCCACTTGATTTTAGCGATTCTTCGGGCTATGTCAGTCACTCTGGTTCTCGTACGGATCTCCTCATTTCTGATTCGATCACGCAGGGAAACTCCGAGCATAGCACGCTCCATCGCTCTTTGGGTGACCTTGAGCCTTCTTATGAGGCCCATAGTAAGCGACCACGGAAGTACCTGGATGCAAGCGGCGCAGGACCGGTCTTTGTGGAAATCCTTGGGGGAGGCCTTTGTCCAGCAGTGGACGTCTTTCGGCTGAAACGAACGAACGAACGAAATAGGACTGCACCGAATTTTGATTGGGTGATTGCTATAGTAATTAGCCTATACATAGTTATTGGCATATTGTAATAAGTAAGAGACAAAAATATTTACTACATTGGACTGCGTATCGCTCAGAAAATATATTTGTCTCTTTTCCTCTCTTAATAACTTCCGTTAGGCTTGTTTCTTTTCATTTTAGGCAAGTTGGCCAATAACTATGTATTGGCTAATTACTATAGCGATCACCCTACCTGATTTGGAAATACAGCTGTATTGATACTAATTAATTGAAGAATAGGTAAAGTTAGTGTCGATTCGTTCAGTAGTCAAAAAGTTTGACGATAAATCTAATTAGTTTATGTAACTGCCAAATTTTATTGTTGTCTGACAAATTGTATGCTCTTTGAGCGGAATATAGTGATACTACCTAATGTAACATGTCACCATTTTACCTATGATTCACAATAAATGATTTTGTATTTGTATTTGTATTTAAGTTCGCAACACGTCTTTGTTACAGTTGGAATAAGTTTGTGTTGTCAACTTTTTGGTCACTTTGGGTATCACGAACTTTTGGATGCTGACCGTCTACGAGTATAACCTGTAAAAAGTAGAGTACCTAGTAAGTACCTGATAAGTATGAGTCACTTTTGTAGTTTTATCCCTGCAAGCTACCTTTTTTTACGAGCAACTTACACTAAATGAACCACAAACATTACTATGAGGTCTCACAGTGCGTATGAACGCACAGGGTGACATATGAACCAATCACAAAGCTCTATTCAACTCTGTGCGTCCGATTTGTTGCTTCACTTAAAAAAGTATATTTTGTGAATACGAGCGTTAGATAACAGAACACATAGAGATAATTTAGAGGTAGGTAGTGGTATGTTCCCACCGCCTCAACTAAGATCCGAAAAATTCAAATAAAAGTTTCAGTTTTTTAGTGAACACGTTATAACGCAATGAATTTTCGCCTGGTGTTAGTTCACAACAAAACATCAATATAAAACGTTAACATATTTTTTTTATTAACAATAATTAAAATATTTACATCATTTGATTTTTCAATAATTCCAAAAACTTTCGATGTAAATAACAACAGAAATAACCTTGCTAAATCAGCAACATATAACCCAACATCGTACTTTTTAAGAAATCCTTAATCTGATTTTTTATTCACACGTAGAGATTATTAAATCCAAAATTTCATGTTTCATTGTAAATGATTGAAAAATCAAACACGATCAAAAAAGCATAACTGAAAACATCATAAAACAAACTCACAATGACAACTGTAACAGTGATGGCGGTGGAGACAGCCGCGCACGCGCATCCTTGCTTGATCTGCCGCTTCCTCGAAAGCCTGAGGAACTCCTCTGTCCTCGCGTCAATGGTTCTGTACAGCCCGAACTGCCTGATTCGCGAGCTCGAGCTTGTACTCACTGACGCTTCACTAGACATGTCGACACATCACTAAACAACAAAAAAAAGTTCCCAATACACCACGCTCCTTGAAATTCGATTTTTGAATTAAAAACGTTTTTCTTTTTCTAAATTCGGCCAGTATTGACACGCGTACTGCTTGCGTTTGCGCAGGAAAATGTGGTGGATTCTTCGCGAGCGACCGCGGTTTGTGTTTTCCTTCGAGATGCGCTATTTGTGTTTAGGGGTGGGGCCGCTACTTTCTTTCCGATATCGATATTGAAAAGTATTTGAAGCAATGAAATGTACAAACAAAACTTTGTTAAAACAAATATATTATCTGTTTTATTTAAATAAGTCTGTTTTTACATAAGATTTCATTGCATTGCATTGCAACGCGAAAGTTTAAAATTAATACATTGCATTTGCTTGATAAAAGTAAGTTTACATACATTTTTATTATACTTTTCAGTGTAGATCATGGTTTATGACTCTATAGAGTTTTTGTAACATAATATATTCGCATAACTTAACTGAACCATTCTAAAATTACGTTGTGTATAGTTTTTGTTTCTCACTAAAAATATATACAACTGCAATAAACAAGAATGTCGTATGTCCAAGAATGAACTATTTTATCGATATTTAATATCACACGGCCATCCCTAGTCCTCATAGAGCGCTAGCGCAGGGCACTGGACCGTACTGAGGCGAGAACCGCATATACATATTGACAGGAGAAACGTATATAATGTGCGATTTATACAACACAATATAACATTATCGGAATATTTGCAGACTTTACATTGTATAAGAATGATACTAAATACATAACTGAACCTTGCTAGTGGTAATAAAACTTTTGTGGTAATTTTTAATTGTAGATCATAAATAATCTGCTGTCTATGTGCGCTGTAAAAATGATTTATCTTTACGGCTGCTAATTGTTCACTTTGTATTTCTTACGTTATGACGTTTCATCATCATCATTTCAGCTACAGGACGTCCACTGCTGAACATAGGCCTCCACATCGCACGGTTGGTAGGTTAGTTAGTTTTTCATCAAGCGCCTTCCTGCTACATTTATCAGGTCGTCGGTCCACCTTGTGGGTGATGTTTAAGATACTTTAATGACATGAAAATCCGTAGGAGGTGGCCGCGACCGGTTCTATATCGGCCGTCGGAAAATATTAGAGTGATGAGGACGAGAATCTGTATCCGAAACCACTTGCCTTATTATTATAATTAATAAAAATACATGTAATATTGTATTATTTTACTTATTGACACATTTCCCATAGAAAGTCATTATTTTTCTGTTTCTAGTGTACCTTTTTTAGTTTCATTATTTCTTAATTAGTTTACTAATATCAATTGAATAATAAACATTACGGCAAACTCAATTATTTTTTACTGTGCGCATATTGAAATATTGTAACATTTTCTTTTTTATAAAAGTTGCTGTGTTAGTGCATATAATTAGTAGTGTTCTTTTATCACAGTCCAGTGAAACACATAATTCACTTTCACATAATTCATCAACGGAAAGATTTATTATGTAGTCGGTCGATCATCTATTAATTATCTCACTCGATAAGAGAATGAATTTAAAATGAACAGATTAATCTCAAAAACTTACCGCATTTTTAACAGCTTTGTTTTATTTTATTGTAATTTGTAGTGTTAGTACTGTAATTTGTATTTTATTTTATTTATTAGGTAAAATACAAGTTATAAATACAACCATAAACACTTTGAAAGAGTTTCATCACTAGTATTTTATTTATCTGTGGTTTCAACATACGAATCAGATATTGAACCTACGTCAAATTTTACGTAATAATTTGAATCTTCATCATTTCATAGGACGTCCACTTCTGAACATGATGATTTGAACCCAATGATTTCCAGATTCGCTGCTGGAAGCAGTCTTCCTGCACTTAGCACCCTTTTGCAAGCTTTACCTTTTCACCCGTTCACCTTGTTGGCGGATGTCTCCCGTTGTACTTGCCGGTGTATGGCCTCGATTCCAGAAACTTTTCCTGATAGGCTCAGAGTTTTACACATATTTGTAGTTATACCTAGTATGTAATGTGTACATATAGTAAGATAGTGTTTATATTGCTATACCTTGTTTTGTAATATTTAAATACGAGTAGACGCGTTTGTGTTCCCTAAATGACTGCGCACATCACCGGGACTGCACAGCAAGGGACTTTTAGGTGACGTATAATGATGTACCTGTAGTTTTAATTCGTATTCTCAAAATTACCTTTTTACCTTACCTATGTGTAAAGGCTTAACAAAAATCGTGGGTGTCCACGATCTTTGTTAAACCATTTGCCGAACACCCTGTATAATAGTATCACTATGCTATTTATGTAGATAGCCATATAATTTGTTTGGTAAGTAAGCACCAAAATCTTATTATTAGGCCGAGTCTTCTGTACACTATTACACACTATGTTAATTTGTTCTAAGAAAGAAGCTAGATCGCGGTAATTCCCGTATTTACGTTAATAAATATGTAGCGCGAAAGTTAACGTAATTAAGAGAATAGGCGGTTAGGATGATTATAATTATCTGCACTGAAATGCAGTAAATAGAGTGAAAAACAATGTTGATGGCAATGACACTTAAAATGTTTGCTTTCTCAAATGCATGACTCTATTGAGATCACAATATTAACTTTACTATACTACTACTGGTAATAGTTATTTAAAAATACTATAGCTATTGATTCTGTAATTTGTAGCGTCGTTTCTTCATTCGTACATGGCACATAACTCTTAGAGCCGATGGCCGCTGGTGCAGAAAAGTGCTCAAGTGGTGATCACGAGCCGGAAGACAATGTAAGCAGGCCTCCCATTAGTTGAGCCGACGATCTTGTAAAGGTTGCGGGAAGTACCTGGATGCGGGCAGCGCAGGACCGGAAGCTTTTGTCCAGTAGTGGACGATATGTCATTTGGTCAAAACGATGACCTAGATTATGGCAGATACCTCGAAGAGCTGGTGCAAAAAAGAAACGAGACAAGTAAAGGTCCCTTTAACTGTAGTGACAGTTTTTTATATCATCATTCATCAATGAGGAATTCAGCAATTTGTAAGCTCTACATTATGGTATCCAATGAATTCATTTTTTTGTCTCATTGCTGTGTGTAAAGAGCATTGCAATTTCCAAAGTCACAAGCTTTTTTTAATTTTATTTTATACCTACCCGGCCATAGCAAATTATGTAGATCTCCTCATTTAAAGGACGAGGCCTTTATTACTACTTACTTTATTGCTACTTACTTAGCCCCGGTGCTTCGCCACTTTAGGTAAGAGAAACTGTCAATCCGACTAAGTCTTCTTTCTTTTTTTTTCTTCCTTCTCCAAGTAACTCTCCCGCTCCGCTGCCTCCTCCTATTACAGTTTTTCCCAGCCCACCGTATAATATGTCAGCATCATGAGCTAAATCGCTTCCCTTGGCTCTTTCAGACTTATATCTTAAGGTTCTTAGCATGTCGAGGTTGTAGGCTGTAACCACTTTAACCGATAATACACATATAGCTCACTTACTAACTCATAGTATGACGATTATACTATTAAGTCTTATGTACGTATATTCTACCTACCTATTTCGATGTTGTCTATAATTGTAAAGTTACATGAAAATGCGTCCCGTAGATTTTGTGTGAATGTCTACAAGTATTCTCACAAATTTATGGGTTCAAATAGTAGCTATTCATTATACACTTGTAATTATATTGTGAACAGCTTGAACTTGCTAAGAATCATTGGCCAAGTCTCCCATAAACGAGTATTTAGGGTGTATTTAGCGTTTAGGAAGAGGTATATTACGTTTGTTCTTACTCAATGACTGACAATGATTGTTTTTTTTTTTTACAAAAACCGTGATTTTCAAGGTAACGAGTCATAAATTATTTTACACTTGACAACAATTGCTTAAACCTAAAAAACGAAGCCGATGATTGTTATCATTCGATTTCAATTCAATGAGCTATGGTTGCCACCATTTATTTGATTTTTCATTAAATAGGTAATTTTACAATGTGTTTCTCTTTCGACTTACGTTACTTTACCCTCTTCCAATTTGTTTGCAATCACGCTTGCCCTTCTGTAAATGTCGTAATTATATGGGAATGGTAATAGAGAGCCCTTCAATGTTCTCCAACGTGGCAAAAATCGGAACTAGTCATGATAGTAGTGCCTCCTGTTAATGTCATAGTTGGGCTCTTTATAATATTTGTGTACATAGAAACGGGTGTTGTGTCCTATCTATGTATATTTTAAAGTCTGTAAACCCTTGAAAAAAGGGCTGACAATAGTGACTGAGTTTCTTGCTCTGCTTCTTCTTATCACTGGCCCATTTATTGTCCTGAAGTGGTAGGGTTAATACTGGGACGTGTAAAAGTGCTTTTTAAAAGCCTACTCGCATAAANCTACTTAATAAATGAGTTTTAGACGATTTATTAATAAGTCACAATTATGGATTTTACAACCAACCCTACGCGGATCGACCGGAGCGTGACGACGGTCGCCTATTTATTACCCACTTGATTAATAACACCGCAGGAATGCGCGCGGTCTTCCTACTGCAAAGAAAGCGAGAATTATGATAAACGAAACGCATGTGGGTATTGTGTTGTGGTTACGAGAAAAACTTCCATGTTTATAGCACGGTCAGTTAAACTGAATTACAGTTTACCCGACATGGAACCTCCAAAAACTGACCATGAGTGAAATCTTAAGGACTCACTCACACAACCGCTGATAGCACGGCGGTATGGCGGTCGGCGGCTTAATTTCAGAAAATCAAGTCGTCGACTTGTACTTTAATGTCAGTGTCATTATGGAATTCATTGGGGTGGCCTATGTTCAGCAGTAGACGTCTATATACTTATGATGATAAATTTTTTGTAGGTCAGTTTTTGGACGTATTTCAGTTCTACTGACCAGTTTAACTACCTAACTGTGAATGTTCAGCTTTGTTACGTGGTATCTCTACTACTGCTTATTAGTTCATATTCAGATAGTTAAATTAAATTGACTTAAATAAAAATACTACGAATGGTCATTGTTATTCTTTTGTGCTTACCTACTTAGTTTCTTTGTCGGCAAGTTAACCAAATCACCGTTTTGGCATAATTAACACGTGGAAAGTAACGCACGTTAGACTGGCCCTCAAGCGTGAAACTACCATGCGACGTAACTGTGGCCATCGAATGTTCTTTACTTACCTACTTTTTATTACTTTGTCAAAAGATAATTCCCATGCCCATTATAACTTGATGGCAAAAGCTATTATTATTGAGTTCTTTTCTATAATTAGATGATCAAACGAACTTACCAAGTGAAGTTCGATCTGAATTATCCTGTTTTCGCCGAAGAGATTTATTTTACCGTGTAGTAGTACCCCTGTACGACAAGCCTATCCGCACACAATATTCAGCGTAGTAGTAGTAAAAAACAAAAGAGCGGGCAACCCCACCCCTACCACGCTGTGGGCTCGGTGTCCGAGCGGTCTCATTATATTTAGAGAAGAGATGACATTGACGTTTACCTCCAGGGAAGAAGATATAGAAATCTTTGGGTTGGGAGGGACCTTAAATCTCTTCGGCGAAAACAGGATAATTCAGATCGAACTTCACTTGGTAAGTTCGTTTGATCATCTAATTATTGATGACACGTTAGAGTATTATCTTGCTAATATTGTGAATGCGAAAGTTTGGATGTCTGGATGTCTGGACATCTAGATGTTTGTCTCTCTTTCACGCAAGAGCTACTGATCGGATTTTGATGAGACTATGCAGTGTTGTTGTTTATAGCCCAGAATGACATATTTGCTATGGTCTGTGGCGATCTGTGACAAACTAAATTTCGCACGGGTGAAGCTGCGGGCAAAAGCTGCATAGTAGTTTATACATCCAAATACATATGCTTAATAAATGATGTTATGATCCGTAATAAGTTTAATCTCACGTGAGCGAAGCCGCGGGTAAAATCTAGTTATTATTAAATTGACCTACATCTTTTTTGGGTTGTCTGTGGGGTGAGTGATTATTTAATTTTGTTCGGGTATCTGATATCTATTTGTCTGTCAAACTATAAACCTTAGTTTAAGATTATATTATCTGTGGTTTAAGTAATTTAAATTAATTACATTTTAAGTTAATTAACTTTAATTTAGTCGTCAAATGTGGCTCAACTTTATAGGGTGTCAAAATGTATTCTCATAATAATATTATGTAAGTAAGTTATTTGTAATGTTCTAGTTTTCATCTTTTGGAGTTTGCGGTAATCCGAACGGTAGATTTACTTTAAGGATATTCCAGGGAAACCTATAATTAGCCATACTTATTGTTAAGTTACTTTAAGATTTATTCATTGTAACGCCGTTGGTTCCTAAATAAAATAAAAAAATAAAATAAAATCCCTATATTGTCGATAATCCACCAGCTCGCACTAAGCGCTTCGTTAACTCTTTTATTTAACGCAAGCACCTAGAGACTGGAATTCACTGCCTGCTGCTGTCTTTCCGAACTACAGGCATTTACAGGGCAGGTACATAACATCCTAGACTGCATCTCATTTAATATCAGGTATGATTGCAGTCAAATGTCAAATACCTGCTCTGTTCTACATAAAAAAATCTGACTTTACTGGTTTGATACTGGGGTAGCAAAGCAACAGCTTAGTGGGATAGAACAGCGGTTCCCGAATGGTGGTCCGCGGAACCCTGGGGTTCCGTGGAAAGGCCGCAAGGGTTCCGTAAAAAATATTATCCCACGTTTCGTGACCGTCGTTGTTCGCGCGCACCGACTTGTTTACGCACAAGGGAGGGGCAGGGCGTGCGGGCGGAGTAGTACGGGGGTTCCGCTAGGAAAAGTATAATCAATTAGGGTTCCTTGGAAAAAAAAATTGGGAAACCCTGGGATAGAACACTCTTCAAAATTTTCCTTGCTTTGAATGAAGTTACCCATACTTAAACCAAGAGAGTGTAAGAGGAGTGGCTTTTGCTATAAATATAACTTACGCGGTCATCATTCCAGTTGGAGACCATCACGAAGAGCACCATCGGGAAGCCTTGGGGTGTTCCCTTGGGGATGAGCATGTGGTGCGGCCACCCACAGCCACAGAAGTCGAACTCGGCAGCAGCAGCGGAGCCCGGGTCTCCAGGGCGAGCGGTCTGGTCCATGAAGGTCCGCTCGTATGGGATGGTGACGGAGGAGTCAACGCTGTTGCGGCGGATGGTGTTGTTGCCGGCGTTCACTGGAAAGATGACGAGGTAAGTCATTACTTTGTTTTTTCAATTGATTATTCGTTATTTAATTTTTACCGACAACCCCATTTTGAGGATCCGATGTAATAGATATTTAGCGAACCCTTAATACGATTAGTCATGATGACGAGGTAGAACGGCTTTCGGCGTATCCTCGTGATTTCTTTAAGGTTTCTGTCGAAGCACCATGACTAAATCACTAAAATTAATTACTCAAGTTTTGGTTGTTTGAAAAATAATTAAAGGAATTAATGTGTTGATAACATTGAGATTTGAGACAGAAAATGACATCAAGTAAGGGAGAATTTTGAGGTCACGTTAGATATGAGGTAGGTAGTTAGACAGTTTTAGTGAGTCACCTTCGTTTAGGGTACCTACCTATATTCCAATGAGGGCTATCGTTTTTATACTTAACAGTTGGCACCCCTGGCGATTGACAAGACCTTACTCTACAGTGGCGCCATCTTGATGAGTGCAAATGCGATAGTCCTCCTACCACTTTAGCGCTCACAAGTTGGCGCCACTGTCTTCGCTACTAGCAAGTGACAGGACCTTACTCTACAGTGGCGCTAACTGGTGAGCGCTAAAACCATAGCCCTCATTGATTTCATCTGTGAAGACATGCATCACAGCCTTGGATAAAGACACAAAGGTTGCGGCACAAAACCATACAACGATTAATAGTGTATACTCACGCGGCTGCGAGAACTTGTCGAGCTCGATGAAGAGTCTCCTCTGCTCCTCGAAGCGGAGAGGCTGTCCGCTCTCGTCGTTGACCGGCGCCAGGAAGATGCGGAACATGCCCATGGCGGCAGCGCCACTGGTATTGTTCACCTCGATGCTGTAATGGAAGAAGAATAAAACATTTGCAAGGATCTATCACAAACTGATAACGTTGCGGTCTTTCCAAGCCTAGGATTTAACACTTACTACTAAAATCTGAAAGCTTTATCGTCAACATCATCTAATGCTAATGCAGGCACTGTCTCCACTGAGCAGAAGCGCGATATAAGGAACGAGGAATCTATCACAAACTGATTTTGATGCTGTCTTTCCAAACCTAGCAGCTCTTACAACTAAAACTTGAAAGATCTATCATCATCATTAGCTGGTTAGCGACACTTTCTTCTTTACCATAGGCAAATGGAGAATTTGGCCTAGACTCCCCACACTGGGTAGAAGTTGAAAGTTTTGTAAACTTGAATAATAATAAGACCAGCTGAATAACATTATACTTACACATAAGTGAACTCGTCGTGCTGAAGATGAGTGAACTTAGCCAGCACACTTCCTCTCGGGGTGAAGTCGAGTCCCCTGGCCAAGTCTACCATGCTCTGCTCCCATTGAGTGCCGAAGGTGTTGCTACCGGCAGGGCCCTCAACGCTGATGGAAGATACGCGGATTCCGGGGAAGTCCAGCTAGAAAACAACAAACCAAGTTACTAAAGGAATGGATGAAGAAAAGACCTTCAAGATAAGGTCAAGACGCCACATGATCCTTGATGATAAAGTCATACAGGAACTTGTTGCGGAAACATGCTGTAACGTACCCTGTCATTCCCGTACTTGGGCAACTTGGTCTTATGCAGGTCGAAGACGTCGTCAACAAATGCGTGCCAGCGGTAGAAGAACGGGTCTCGCATGGCGGTGGTGGAGTCGCCCATCACGCCGTATTGCTCCTGGAAGACCAAACAATCATTAGTACACCAAACAGTATTTTATATTGAGCTAAAAATCCATGAAGAACAGAATACATTCCAGAGAGACCAGACCAGTGGCTATCTTTGCTTGGAATAAAGTAAAAAGCAGTGTTTAATTAATCGTTTGATAGGAACGAAATAAACGCCTAAATAAATGGTAATCTCTGCCTGTTTCCAAGAATTCTAGGATCAAGGATCCAGGCCAAGCCTGGAGACTACATGCATCTATATCTTATTCTGTGAAAAACTTACAGAAGTAGAAAACAAAGATAAATGAGTAACAATTTTAAAGTCATTTAATCTATGTTTTTGTAATAAGTGATTTAATTAATGCTGCTGACAACGCCACTCTTGTAGCGGAGTTTTGGGCTGACACTGTGTAGGTTTGTTGTCGACACGATGAGAAAAAGATAAGTGAGAGTAAATTACCAAGTGCCGATGGTCGGGGTCGTGAGCGTACGAGCAGATGACGTGGCCCATGTTGTGAAGATCCCCGTAGTAGCCGCGGTTGGGGCTGAGGATGGAAGACTCCATGAGGTTGCCCAGCACGTCGATACCGGTCTCCTCCGTGAGAGGCACTTTGCGGTTGCCAGACTGGTGGAAAACAAAATGTGATTATTAAATAATTCAAGAATAGAAAGTAAGACGAAAAGAACAGTTCCAAATAAGGTATCAAGACTTTCATGGAGTAATCGCTGATTCGGTTGAAAAAATATGCTTGACTCCTTGCTACGCGTTTGGGACTATTCCTACCTCTCGTTCCCACCCCTGCAACTCCTGTGTAACCAGGATCTACAGGTTACTACCTACATGTTTATATAGTATATGTTTCATCACACGGTCTATTTAATAAAAAATATGTCTACGTACGACGATGACGGCATTCTCCTCGATGGCCTGGAGCACTCGGTCCCTCCATCTCTCCAGCTCCGACACCTCGATCCTGATGCGGTCCACGGGCCGGTCCAGGTCGCGGAGAATCGAACCTGCGAACCTGTAAGAAGTACCTAGTTACGGGACTATTCCCACCACTCGTTCCCACCACTGCAACTCCTGTGTAGCCAGGATCTACAGCTTGACCGCCGATAAAAACCCAACCAGTGAAGGTCTGGTAGGATGATCTCACAAAACTCGTAATATTTGAATGATTATCCACTAAACCTGATCAAAACTGCCTTTTAACCAAGCTATGCTTTCAAAGCTGTTCTAACATGACCATTGCTTGAACTCACCTTGGTGGCCAAGCGCGGCTGGCGACTTGGGAGTCCAGTTTGGGGAAGTAAGCCTCTTCGATGGGGGCCCTGAAGTTGGTGTACCGCACCACGCGGCCCAGACCGTTACAGAAACGCTCCGATGTGTATCTGTAAAGAAAAAGTCACTTTCGGTCAATATTTGGTTCAATAATACAAAGATCTGACAAAAAGAGAGTGGCTAAGATAAAATTGATGCTTCAATACATAGTGTTTGTCCTTTAAAACGAGCCAAACATTTAGGTACCTACATAATTCGATTCTTACACCCGTATTCACAAATGATGCTTGCTTAAGTGAAGCAGCAAAGTACAGAGATGAATAGAGCTCTGCGATTGGTTCACGTGTCACCCTGTGCACGGTAATATACATGATAGTATTACCGTGCCCTGTGCGTCCACGCGCACTGTAAAACCTCAAAGTAATGTTTGTGAATACGGGCGTAAGTCATTCTAAAAAACTGTCCTCTAGGTTGTCGGGAAGATCGCTTTATAGCGATGTGCCAAAATTGTGCCGTCTCTTTTGTGTATTTCTTTCTTGTCTTGTCTATTATTCTTCCTTTTAAAAGGAACTTCTTTCAAGACACTCTGAGTCAGAATACTTTCTCGCAAATTGTCTCTCCTACCTGGCAATGATCTGCTGGTGCATGTAGTACAGGAGTTCTCCCCTCCTGTCCTTGTTGACGATGGCGAAGTCGGTCTCAAAGGGGTACACCAGATGCCAGTGCCAGTGGTGCAGATTGACGCCGATGTCCTCGCGGAAGTACGCCACGCGCTGCTCGGGCTCCAGCTCTGAGGCTGTTAGGTTCGTCGGAATCTCCACTGGCATCTGAAGTAGACAGGGTAAATGTTTTAACAGATGCCTTTTCAGGAAGAGTTCTACTCCTGATTTTAAACAACGGGGTAGTGGACGCCTTAGTCAATTAGCAAACTTTAAATGAGCTATAGAAATGGAACGCTCCCATAGATTTTGTATGATAAAGGGGAATAACGTCATCAGATCACGAAGTCTAATGACTGACTTTACTGATAATTTTCGAATTGCTCGAAAGCTCGAAATCGAATTTCACGGCGTTTTCTTGGATTTGATGATTAGTGGTATCAAGAATCAACTACCCAATTTTAATGTGGCATCAATGATGACAGTGAGAAAAAATTGCTATTTGAACTAATGTTTGAACCAAATAAACTATTTTTCTTCTTCTTCTTCTATTCCATTATCCCAAGTAAAATGTGATTTTGAGGACATTCTAGATAGTTATTTTGTATCAACTTACCCTGCTGCCTGTGGTCACAACATTGGAGACCTCCCTCGCTTTGCGGAACACCTTGGGGTCCATGAACTTGTCTGGGAAGGTTTGGACCAAAGTGGGTACGTTGAAGCCCTTGGTGTCATCTCTGAAAATGGAAAAAGATGGATTTTGCATCACAGTCTGATTGATAAAGATTGTTATAGGAGCATAATTATCTTTGTGAAGTTCTCCCATCTTCAACGTGGCGTTGACATGAAAGTTTTTAGTACGAGACTACTTATTCCCACCTCTCGTTCTTACCGCTGCATCTCCTGTGTAGCCAGAATCTACAGCTTGACCGCCAATAAAAATTCAACCAGTGAAGGCCAAGTTTGTCTCGGGGAAAAGTTAAACTACTAAGTTGTTAGTAGACAAATAATTTTACCTGTGAAGAAGTGCGACAGACAAGCAGTAGTTGAACATGTAAGGGTTGATGCGGAGCTGGCAGTACGTGCACAGTGACGTCAGGTCCTCTACGTTGCGCATACCTGGAAACGATGAAGGCTTTGATTAAACACTGATTCTACTTTTGCTTGATAACCATACAGTTAGCTGAAGACAAGATGGTGCAACCAAATGTTAAGAAGCAGCGAGCAACGCCTGATAACTTAAATCCTAAACTTGATCATGCAGGTACGATTGCCAACGTTGTAATGTAATAAATTTATACTTAACTAGCTGACCCGGCGAACTTTGTTCCGCCTTAATGGCAATAAATAAGCAGACTTTTTTTATTTCGAACGGGATAAAAAGTATCCTATGTCCTTCTCCTGGCTCTAAACTACCTCCCTGACAATTTTCAGCTAAATCGGTTCAGCCGTTCTTGAGTTATAAGCGAAGTAACTAACACGACTTTCTTTTATATATATAGATTATATTAATGACAGTGGGGTAAAAGGAAAATAAGGAGTGTTTAATTCAATATCAACACATAACGGTCGTTTTACCGGCTACTGCGATGTCCACACTCCACAGTGATTTGTGGTGCGTCGACAGTGGATTTTACCTTTTAATCTATACTGTATCTAGGTATCCATGTACTAGGTCTAGAAGCGATGGCTATGACTATGAACTTGAGTTCAAAATCTTCATTATCAAAGATCTTTAATTTGAAGTGTAATTTATCGAATAAAATTGGTTTAAATACAAACTGACTTGACCAACGCTGTCTCTATGTGGATCTTACCATGATAAACATAGATGGGTATAAAATGTTACCAACGGTGTCAGATCTTACCAACGAAGGTGTCGATGAGGTTGCCAGCCATCTCCCTGTGCTTCTGGATGAAGAGCGAGAACTGCTCATTGTAAGGCAGCTGCATGGGCACGCTCAGGTCTGGCAGCCCGATGTTCGCCACCGGCACCACTCTAGCGTCATCGGTCCCGAAGCGATCAGACAGCGTCGTGCTCAACGCCCTGTATTTGTCCGGCTGGAATGTACAAATTAGTCAATTAAAATCTACCTTCTGTGTTCATTTTGTCGTAGTCGTTTTCTTCATTAGTTACTGAAGGTCGTGTCTTTGACGAGTCCATCATAGGTCTCACAATCTCTCTCTATTTCTCCCGATGTTCGGCCTCGTTTTGGGCGGCTGTAAGTGAATCCCGTGTTATCACTGTGTTAATCAGAGCGTGCCGCGCGTCCGACGTCCGTTAGGACTGATTGATTTATCATTTTACGCATTGTAAAAGTATGAACATTAAGGACTTAAGGGATTTGCTCGTTGATTCTAGTTACTCTTACACACTACAGTTGGCTCAGACAACGCTAATGATCATAGAATAGTTAGTTGAACTAGAAGCAGACGGCATTCAAACACAAGACAGTGTCTTAGACACTAAAGGCTGTATAACTTACGTAGTAATGCTCGGGCAGCTGGAAGACTGTCTTGTCGTCGCCCTTCTGCATGAAGCAGGGCTCCGTGGGCCGGTCGAAGAACAACAGCAGGTTCTTTTTGGCTTCTGCGTCTGCCATTTTGACGACTGGAACATGGAAATTGAACATGTTTTAACATAAAAATGAATATGTGACTACGATCATCTTAGGATTAAAATTAAAAAAACCTTGAAATACATTAACACTACTTAATTAGCGAAATTAATTAGAAAGAACCGTAGCGTGCGTGCCTTACGTATTTACACATTCATGAGAATGAAAACTGAATTTCAATTTGTTAGTTCGTGTAAGTATCTACTCGTAGTAAAGTAACGACGCCCTGTATTTTGCGGCATCATGAGTAATCATATTTGATACAATCACGAATAGAATCAGGCATCCATAACCGAAATTAAATTTAAAAACAATTTTCCATGAAAATGCTATAAATTCCTCTAAAGGTCATTCGAAACCGCAACCGATAGCTTTGTTTGTAATCAGGGACGCGATTGTTTTGTTTTCCTGAATCCATATCAGAAACAAAAGTACCTAACTTAGCTATTAAGAGGCATCTTCTGGACGAATCTATCATTATGTAGTACATAATAGATACAGTCAGCGACAAATAGTTCATGACACACAAAGTGGCCAAAAGTTGATAACAAGAGGTGTTGCGAACTTTTTGGCTACTTTAGGCGCCACAAACTATTTGAGGTTGACTGTACATAGATCACCTCCCACGGTGAAAATAATGATCGCTATCTCTCTGATCAGCAAAACAAAGTAGAAATTGAAAAAGAGTAGAAAAATAAAGAAAAGAACACTCACCCAAAGTCTTCGCCGGTAACAAATAAAACTAAAACTTTTGGAAGTTGTTAGCAAGCCGTGTTGATCACGGCTCGACTGTGCTGGCCGGGAAGAGATGCCGCGCCTTTATACGGCTCCCGGGAGCGTGTGCAGGCTCCGTGTGCATGCGAATATCTGTTGTTGATGATAATTTGGGAATGGTGGTAGATAATGAAACAGATATTTGGGGAGTTACCTACCTTTGTGAATGTTATAGGTACCTACCTACCTACATGGATGGTTTACACGGCGCCTTCTAACTAAGTAAACCTAGATTAGCAAAGCCTTTTAACACGTACAGGCATCATTTTATAGAGGCTCCTTTTTTTGCAAATACTTACATAACCTGGACCGCGCAGAACCGATCTTTGTGGAAATCCTTGGGGGCCTTTGTCGAGCAGCGAACGTCACTCGGTTGAAACGAACGAACTTACATCTAACTTTTATAGATAGAAAACAGCCGTAATAAAATAGACACAATATTATATCGAGCAAGTTTCACTAGGGCCTAGGGTTGCCAGGTGTCCGGCTTTAGCCTGACATGTTTGGCTTTTTACAGTCGCGCCAGGCGAAAGTCCAGCTACAGAATAATATCAAGCGCACGCATCAGGATGTTGGGCAACCGATGATGATAGAATTCACTCGTAAGCTATGACACTAATTCCCCCTTAATCCTTAAATGCCCAGGGCCCCTAGTAGGTTAAAGACGGCCCTGATTGTACGGGATCGAACCCTCGACCTCATTGCAGTTTTGTTCATAACCACCGCGCCTATATCGATCGACTGAAGCTACTTATTTTAAATTCTTGAGCTATGTAGGTAATGTAAACTAGCCAGTTGTTAAAATATTCAAGGTCGACAGTTACAGTACTTAATTCTGACTTTTATTAGAATGTTAAATATTACACTATGAATAATTTTCCCTACTGCTTTATAGCCCATAGCGTGCTTTAAGGGGTTAAAAGTGGGAGGGACACTCGCATAAGCAGGGTAGGTTGATAGAACACCATAATGTAGAAGTGAGACTACATGAGCAGGAAAATTGAGTCAGATTTTTACAGACGATATTGAATTACCTATTTAGCAAACTGTTTCGTTTCGTAACAAACAAGTATTTAATCATTGTTCGGACCCATCCATCCATTTCAGAAACGATTGCAGTCACGAATGAACGTTAAAAATACAGACTTAACTTTTACATGTGACATGTTATTTTCAAACGTTTACAAAGCCTATAATCATGCGCTCAAGAACTGCAGCGACTGCAGGGCACTTTGCTACCTGGTAAAGTTTGACAACTTGCTGCGGACATGTCAAGATGTTATCCAAGTACCTAAGTACCTACCTACCCAAGGCCTTAAATAATAACGCTTTGGTGTTGTCTTTGAACAATACTTTTTTATTATGTAAAACCCTTAGATACCTTTTTTTTTTAGAACTCTTACTTTACTAGGTTTACTTACAGTACGACAGACGTATTGATAAGTACCGAGTATAATATCCGCTCATGATGTTTGTGGATACACTAACTTTTGCCCCCAACGGGATTATGAAGATTCGAACCCACGACCGTAGAACTAAGAGCGTAGGCACGCGAAGCACCCGACTACTAGACTAGAAGCCCGTCAAACTAGTAATGTTATGAATACATATTGGTTACCTATGAGTCATATAATGCATCCATAACATTGTAAGTTCACTGATATTTATTGCCTTGACTACTAATAATATGTTAGGTACCCTTTCACACTACACACGCCACATCGTGATATCACGGTACCTAGTACTGAAAGGTATCAAAGAGTGAAATAAAAACGACAATATTATTTTCATCATGCATTTTACTTACACAACATCATAGTAGGTACTAAAATAGGTACATAAATACATAAATCTTAAAATAGGTTTGCCTAAAATTGCTTACACCCAAAGTTGAAAAAGAAATTCAAGCAATATTAATTATGTAAGTAATAACACAATATTTTATACCAGAAGGAATGATTTGTGTATTCATAGGTGAGTAAGTTAGGTGTTAAAATAAATGCAGTGATAAATTAAAATTTATACAATTACCTCTAAAAGGAGGTCGTTAATCAATAACTCGAAACCATACAAAACTTGGAAGTAGGTATTTATGATCGTTCATCGATCACATAAATACTCGTAACTTACATAAGTAATAATTATTAGTTAAAAGCAGAAATATTTATAAAGAACTTACTTAGTTATATGTTGGTGATTAATGTTACTCGTTGGTAGACCTAGTTAGTACTTGGTTAAGTAGGTGCCCCTTTACTTTATAGCTAGGCCGTTGATGATTGATTCCAGGGTAATTTTTATTTTACTTTCTTAAGTAAGTAGGTATGTGAAAGACCTACCCGGAAGCGCTCATACCGACAGAGCGGCAGCAGACTTGCTTTCTGATACAAGCGAGAAAAGAAAATCAAAACAGCTTCAGTCATTCAGGAGCTAATAAGTAATGCACTGACAAGACAAATACTTTTCGCGACTGTTTTCGCGCTAATGTCTTTCGCGCTATTGTCTTCTCGCGCAAGTGGCCATAGTTACGCGCAAATGGCTTTTCGCCCTTGTATCTTCGCGCTACTAGTGTCTTTCGCGCAAGTATCCCGATATGCGAAAAGTAGGTACGAATACTCCCCCAGAATCCAAACCTCTACGCAGTAGAGTTACTGGAGTTACTTAGATCGTCTTTTGTCTTTTACAAACTTCAAGCTAATGTAATTCGAGATCTCCATTGTGTGCGTGCGTGCCCTCTTTTAGCCTTTGTTATTTACACAAGCACTCAAAATTCAGCCTCCATACATTGTAAAAAATGACCTTATATTCCTAGCTGTCGGCGGTCTGTGACAACTTCTTAAAATGTTCCCTCCTGTATTTTTATGTGAGACCGATAAGGTTGACTTTAACCGTCTAATTAAAGATAAATACCTAGGTATTATTTTTGTTTTTCTCCCGTTAGGTGTAGGTAATTTGATGTCACAAAATAATGTGAGGGAGTGTGAGGGCAATTGTGTAATGTGAAGACGCCTCATACATTAGTGAGGGCAACTAGTTGTAAGGAGTGCAACAGGTTTTGGTCAAGGCAACTAACTGGTTTTAGTGAGTGCAGTAGTGAGGGTCGCCTGTTCTATTGATAGCCTCTCTGAGGGCCGCTTGTTTAGTGAGAACAAATTGGTGAGGGCCACTTGGTCATAGGGAGGGCCGCTTGGTCATAGGGAGGGCCGCTTGGTCATAGGGAGGGCCGCTTGTACTAAGGAGGGCCGCTTGTTTAAGGAGGGCCGCTCGTTCTAGGGTAGCTTGTCCTTGGGAGGACCGTTCGTTCTAGTGAGGGCTGTTCGTTCTAGTGAGGGCCGTTCGTTCTAGTGAGGGCCGCTCGTTCTAGTGAGGGCCGCTCGGTCTAGTGAGGGCAGCTTGTCATACGGAGGGCCGCTTGGTCAAAGAGAGGGCCACTTATTCATAGGGGAGGGCCGCTCGTAAATAGGGAGGGCCGCTTGTCATAGGGAGGTCCACTTGTTCATAGGGAGGGCCGCTTGTCATAGGTAGGGCCGCTTGTCATTGGGAGGGCCGCTCGTCATAGGGAGGGCCGCTTGTCCTAGGGAGGGCCGCTCGTTATAGGGAAGCTTGTCTTTGGGAGGGCCGCTTGTTCTGGTGAGGGCCGCGCCGCTTGATATTTAGGAGGGCCGCTCATTCTAGGGTAGCTTGTCCTTGGGAGGGCCGCTTGTCATAGGGAGGGCCGATTGTCATAGGGAGGGCCGATTGTCATAAGGAGGGCCGATTGTCATAGGGAAGGCCGATTGTCATAGGGAAGGCCGCTTGTCATANCACAAAATAGTTGTTACAACCAACCTTGTGTTGGGTCTAATTCTCGTCACTACACTGCACAACTTAAAATAATTACGTTTTTTGTCGGTAAAAACGTCCTGGTGACGTCACTTAAGCATTTTTCTTATACTGCGTGCGGTCGTTGCGCGTGCGCACAAAGGAATGAGACCGCTCGGACACCGAGCCCACAGCGTGGTAGGGGTGGGGTTGCCCGCTCTTTTGTTTTTTACTACTACTACGCTGAATATTGTGTGCGGATAGGCTTGTCGTACAGGGGTACTACTACACGGTAAAATAAATCTCGGAGGCGAAAGCAGGATAATTGAATGTGGTTATCATTTTCATTTTCAAAGTTTTTTCCCGGGCGTGTCCCCTTTCCAAAACTACCTGTTTGTCTCTGGCTGTCAAAATATCTCTAATTCAAAAATTCATCTAATTTAGTTCAGTGGCTTAAGCGTGAAAGAGTAACAAACATCCGTCCATCCTCACAACCTTTTAAATTTATATTTTACTTACTAGCTTTACCGACGCCTTCGCCTGCGTGAAATTCAGTTTGTCACATCCCGGGGGCCTTTAAGCTATTCTTATAATACATACTGTACAGTTTCATCAAAATAATTTCTATAGTTTTTGCGTTAAAGAGTAACAAACACGCATACATCCACAATCACTGTCGCGTTCAAAATATTGGTAGTAATTAGTAAGTTTGTTGAATTTTTCATGCTGCGACAAACATCTTTTAATGTTAATGTTAGGTGTAGGAAGATCTATTTAGTTTTACACTAAGGTAAAATCAAACAGAACGATTAATTTTTAACAATTTATTAAAAATATTCTTAAAACCTTAAATCATGATTAGTCGAAGGCAGTGTCGTTTTACATTTTTTTTGAGTATTTTATACTGTAAATTTTTTATTTTTTAAAATATATACAGAATCACTAGAACCAAGGTAACTCATTACCTAAATTATGCATACACACATAGTTGGTAAGTAACCTTAACATCAAACAAATCTTGCTACTTAGAGCGCTCAGTTTGGTATCATAATTATGGCAGCTTATTAATATAGTACATTTATTAATCTAGGTTAAAAGACAAAAGGTACGAGTGGTCGATCGTAGAAATATCCCTCTTTTTCGACGAACGGTGGTCTAGTCGTGGGAGGTGGGATGTACACTGGGGGTCTTGTTGTTGGGGGTGGGATGTATACAGGGGGTCTAGTTGTTGGGGGTGGGATATATACAGGGGGTCTAGTTGTTGGAGGCGGGATGTATACTGGGGGTTTCGTTGGTGGAGGTGGGGGTAGATATGTGGCTGGTGTTCTAAATGTCGGTGGCCTCGTGGGGGGAGGTGGAGGAGGTGGAGTCCTCCTGGTTGTAGAGGGAGGTAAGTAAGTTGGGGGTGGGGTTCTTGGAGGGGGAGGCCTTGTTGGTGGTGGCGGAGGTAGGTATGTAGCTGGGGTTCTGAATGTTGGTGGCCTAGTAGGGGGAGGCGGAGGAGGTGGGGTTCTTCTGGTTGTAGTGGGAGGTAAATAAGTTGGTGGCGGGGTCCTAGGAGGGGGAGGTCTTGTTGGTGGTGGTGGAGGTAGAGATGTAGCTGGGGTTCTGAATGTTGGTGGCCTAGTAGGGGGAGGCGGAGGAGGTGGGGTTCTTCTGGTTGTAGTGGGAGGTAAATAAGTTGGTGGCGGGGTCCTAGGAGGGGGAGGTCTTGTTGGTGGTGGTGGAGGTAGAGATGTAGCTGGGGTTCTGAATGTTGGTGGTCTAGTGGGGGGTGGTGGAGGAGGTGGAGGAGGTGGAGTCCTCCTGGTTGTAGAGGGAGGTAAATAAGTTGGGGGTGGGGTTCTGGGAGGGGGAGGTCTTGTTGGTGGTGGCGGGGGTAGAGATGTAGCTGGAGTTCTGAATGTCGGTGGTCTAGTGGGGGGTGGTGGAGGAGGTGGAGGAGGTGGAGTTCTCCTTGTTGTAGAGGGAGGTAAATAAGTTGGCGGTGGAGTTCTAGGAGGGGGAGGTCTTGTTGGTGGCGGTGGGGGTAGGTATGTAGCTGGGGTTTTGAATGTCGGTGGTCTAGTGGGTGGAGGTGGTGGAGGTGGGGTTCTTCTGGTTGTAGAGGGAGGTAAATAAGTTGGTGGCGGGGTCCTAGGAGGAGGAGGTCTTGTTGGAGGTGGGGTTCTAGGAGGGGGAGGTCTTGTTGGCGGAGGTGTAGGTGGTGGAGTACGTCTCGTTGGTGGTGGAGTTGGATACGTGAATGGAATTTTAGGCGTCGGATAAGTGTAACCCGTCGTTTGGAACTGATTTCTTATTGTTGTATAAACTGGAGGTCTAGTTGTCGGGGGTGGTGTTGGCCGAGGAGTTGTAATGGGGCGTCTGGTTGTAGTTGTGGTTGGAGGGGGTCGTGGCGTCGTCCGAGGCGTTGTGGGGTATGTGAAAGGAATGCTTGGGGTTGGGTAACTGTATCCAGTTGTTCTGAATGTAGCCCTGGTAGGCGGTGGTGTAGCCCTGGTAGGCGGAGGTGTATACCTGGTAGGTGGAGGTGTAGCCCTGGTAGGTGGAGGTGTATACCTGGTAGGCGGTGGTGTAGCCCTGGTAGGCGGTGGTGTAGCCCTGGTAGGCGGTGGTGTATACCTGGTAGGTGGAGGTGTAGCCCTGGTAGGCGGTGGTGTAGCCCTGGTAGGCGGTGGAGTTGGATACGTGAATGGAATTTTAGGCGTCGTATAAGTATAACCGGTCGATGTGAACAGATCTTTTATTGTTGAATATACTGGAGGTCTAGTTGTCGGGGGTGGTGTTGGCCGAGGAGTTGTAATGGGGCGTCTGGTTGTAGTGGTGGTTGGAGGGGGTCGTGGTGTCGTCCGAGGCGTTGTGGGGTATGTAAAAGGAATGCTTGGGGTTGGGTAACTGTATCCAGTTGTTCTGAATGTAGCCCTGGTAGGCGGTGGTGTAGCTCTGGTAGGCGGAGGTGTAGCTCTGGTAGGCGGAGGTGTAGCCCTGGTAGGCGGAGGTGTAGCCCTGGTAGGCGGAGGTGTAGCCCTGGTAGGTGGAGGTGTAGCCCTGGTAGGTGGAGGTGTATACCTGGTAGGTGGTGGTGTTGCCCTGGTAGGCGGTGGAGTTGGATACGTGAATGGAATTTTAGGCGTCGTATAAGTATAACCGGTCGATGTGAACAGATCTTTTATTGTTGAATATACTGGAGGTCTGGTTGTCGGAGGTGGCGTAGGTCGCGGAGTTGTAGGAGGTCGTCTAGTTGTAGTGGTGGTTGGCGGGGGTCGTGGTGTCGTCCGAGGCGTCGTGGGGTATGTGAAGGGAATGCTTGGGGGTGGGTAACTGTATCCCGGCGTTTCAGAGTATCTTATTACAGGCGGTGGTGGCGGAGGTGGAGTCCTGTAATTGAGAAAAAAAAGAACAAATTATTTTGAGTTATTGTATTATTTTTAGCGAGCGATGTTAATCTGGAAATTAAAAATAAAGAGTTTTGGCAGTCAATAGGAAACAACTATAAATCCCATAATCATACAAGTGCTTAGGAAAATATGTGTATAGAGCATAGAGAGAGAGAGAACTAAATGTTTCAATAACTACGTCGAAAAATCTTATAATGCAGAAAGTAGTGTTTTTAATATAGATAGAAGGCAAAATCTTAAATTGAATTGCCTATAGGCAGAAATGAGTAACTCCATAAACGAACAAAGTTGGCTGTCAGAAGCCTAATAAGCTAAAGTGGAAATGGTTAAAGCACGTGGTGCAAAGTACCGGTAACGGTTAGGAAGCAAAGTCATAAATTGAGACTGCGCAATCAAAACTACAGTAAGAGTTGAACACCTGCCTATTGAATGCCGACCTCGTAATTTAACGGAGCCCGCAAACTTTCAGGATCGAGTTAAAGTAGTGTTAGGTAAATAAATATTTTTTTCTATAATTTAATCAATCATTTACACTACGTTGAACGTTGGCTTTAACATACATAAATTTTGTAATAGAATTTTAATAGTTTAAAATGTCAGTAAAGAAATCAAATAGCCAAAAATCTACTTGTAACGTTACACCATGCACCGTACTAAATAGTTTTTACATGAGTTTTCTTGAAACTTTTTGCGAATACCCCACCCCTATTGTAAAACAATTCATGAAATCAAAATTTGATAAAGCCTGGTTCGTGAGCACGTAGAATTTTGTCCAATGACCCCAAGCTACCCATCCTTATCGCTCGCGCGTAATTATGTTGCTGTCGCGCTCGCACACTCACTGCGGGCGCCCGTCGCACAGTCGCGACAGCAATATAATTACGCGCGAGCGATAAGGATGAGTAGCTTGGGGTCATTGGTCAAAATTCTACGTGCTCACGGACCAGGCTTTAGTTAAAATGTAATGTTTAATCATCCGTAATCCGAAATTCATTCCTTGCCCACCGTGCACGAAGCAGTTCATGTTAAAATAGGATTTGTCGGTCCATACCTTATCAGACGTGGAGACGTCGGTGGTTTAGTCGTTATGGTGAACGGTTTATTTGGGCGTTCATACACGTAGCCATCCTCGGTAGCAGGTGAATAGGGCTGTTTTGGAGAAAGGGGGGTAAGGGGTGGTAAAGTTGGAATGGAAGGAGGAAGCGGCTGGACAGGCTTTGGTGGAGGTTGAATTGATGGTATGTTTATTGGTAATCTTGGGCGCTCTACGATACTGGTACTGGAAGGAGGTCCTTGGGGTGGTAAAGTTGGGATAGAAGGTGGCTGGTAAGGGTTCGGTTGATTTTGGATAGGTACTATGTTTTTTGGTAAATTTGGGCGCTCTACGTTGATGCTGAAAGGAGGGGCTTGGGGTGGTAAGGTTGGGATAGAAGGTGGCTGGTAAAGGTTCGGTTGATTTTGGATAGGTACTATGTTTTTCGGTAAATTTGGGCGCTCTACGTTAATGCTGAAAGGAGGAGCTTGGGGTGGTAAAGTTGGGATAGAAGGCGGCTGGTAAGGGTTCGGTTGATTTTGGATAGGTACTATGTTTTTTGGTAAATTTGGGCGCTCTACGTTAATGCTGAAAGGAGTAGCTTGGGGTGGTAACGTAGGGATAGAAGGTGGCTGGTAAGGGTTCGGTTGATTTTGGATAGGTACTATGTTTTTCGGTAAATTTGGGCGCTCTACGTTGATGCTGAAAGGAGGAGCTTGGGGTGGTAAGGTGGGGATAAAAGGAGGAGGAGGCTGACTGGTAGGAAAAGGAAGGAAGAATCAAATTTTTAATCTTCCATATAACTTCTGAACAACCATTATTGTAAGCTATCCATGAGATGATTTAACGAGTCGAATCATCCGTTATCCCGAATTTATTGATGATCAAAGCGTGTTGAATAAGATATTGTTTTTAAAATGCTTACCTTGGAGGCGGGATGTACTGCTCTTTAAAGGGTATTGAGGGCGCCGGGTAGAAGTATCCATCTTCGTCTAGGTCGGGTCGGATGGGGTCTCCGAGGACCGCGTAGTTTTGGTTTGAGTAGCTTGCTATGGCCCGGGCGGGGCGCGCGGCCTGGCAGCTGTGGTACACTGCCAGTACCAGCACAGCGATGTGCAGTGACAGCCTCTGGAAGAAGATAACGTAATTTATTCAGACTATGTATTTTTTTTCATGTTGTGACTATGAAATATAAAATATTAACGTTTTCCCGCCGATTTGCACGCAACGATTTCAGTAAAAAAAATGTACAAAAATCTAGTCTGCCTAATACATATCGGAATGCTTANTCACACTGTATTTAAATCTTATACAAAATATAAGATTTTAAATATACAAAATTAAAAATATAAAAAAAATTAAACCACTTTTGATCGGTGATGGTAAAATAAACGTAATCACCAATTTGAGTATGTCAACAAAGTTAATGTATTCCTAATCGATTTAAAATTCAAAAACATTTCCATCTCCAAGGATATGTTTGTGTATGTTGCAAGATTGACATTCTCTAGTACCTACTCCTATTTAGATAAAATATTTTGTGTAACCTTTGAGGTCAATAATATTAGCAAATAAGTTACTTTGACTAACTACTACTGTATTTTTATAAGTGTATTTTTTTTAACCTTAAAATTGTAGACTCTTATACATGTGTAAATTAGCCACTTAGTTTTTTGTCCGTTAACTCTGCTAATTGTCAAAATATATTATTAAGACAAGTGGATATCGCTATTATTTTATACATTTTTTAACTATTAGTAACAAAAATTGATAGTTTAGTTATTATGTACCAAGTACCATTAAGTGTAATATGTACCAAGTTGTGTGACTTATAACTTAAATCCTTGTTTTTTATTCAGTTTCTATGATTATTATTACAAGTTATTTAAATAATGCAATGCGAAAGTTATATTATACAAGTTGGTTCAAAAGGTCGCCATAAATTAAACATTAAAGATTTTTAGACAAAAGGTTGCATTTGGAAATTGCATTTAATATTTATAGGTCAAGGTCAAATATTTTTGACTCAAAATTTATACCTATTATTTATAAATTGTTCTAATATGAATCAGTAATAAGAATAACTGCTTTTTTTCTACTTAACGATCTTGAGGAAATATTGCCCTCAATGCCAAATAATCATGATTGAANAAGCCTATTGCGACTTTTTCTGTAAATTGATAATGTTATTACTAATATAAATAAATTACTACATAAACACTCTAGAACTGTAACTACTAACAATTCCTGTTTATAACGTATACGTGTATAAGTATAATGTAATGTATACTCATATTGTTACGGTCTATAATTCATAAAAACAATTTTCGTTTTTGTTTTTTCATTTATTGAATCCAAGCCATCATCATTAATTTCCCATACATTGAACCGCAGGTTCTTCATACATGTTATTTCCCTACAGAATTTACATAACAAAGGTCTCGATACATGTTTATTGCGCGCGATGACAAGTCAGGCGCTCATCTAAATCAGATTTACAACAGTAATCGACTATAAAATATCGCCAATATATTTCGTATATTAAATAAATAAATAAATAAATAAATCTTTGGACAATTTCACACAGCGCCAGCTAGCCCCAAAGAAAGCAACTTAATACTTGTGTTAACGGATATACTACTTATATACTTTTTTTTTTAAATACATAAATATTATACATAGTCACACCCAGACCCGTCACAGAAATTAAAATTCATCATTTCAATTTCTGCCGGCCGGGAATCGAACCCGAGACCTCTCGGCATAGTAGTCCGTTCTGAACCACTACACCAAACGGCCGACAATTGTAAACGATTCGATCCTTCTTGTATTAAAAACTGTTTTTATGACAGGCCAATTAGTTGTGCGTCAGAGAATCTAGAGAAGAAGCTCAAGGTGTTCTGGTAGACTTCGGTGGAATGTAACCGGGTTTGCGAGTGGTCCAGCTGTGGATAATATAGCGACGCGATATGATGATTAACTAAAAATCTATCTATATTTATAAAAGGGAAAGCTCACTGATTGACTGACTGACTGACTCACTCATCATGAAATCTCAGAAACTACAAGTGCTAGGAGTCTCAAATTTTGCATGGGGGTTCCTTTTAGAACTTATGAACGAATTTACGAAACTCCACTCCTAAGGGGGTATAAGCACGCGTACGGAGTCGCGGGATCATTTTGATCTGATCATTAATTTGAAGAATCAATTTTTCAAATCCGTCAGCCATGTTTATCAAGTAATCCTAAGATTACTCAATATTTACTTATTTTGAGGTGCTCGTACGTTACCAAAATTATAATTTACAAGTTTTTATTTGCGTTTGTGGGCGAGTACTTAGCTGCTATTGAAATCAATGTTACTAAAGTGCGACGTATTAGGCAATTAATCTTCTTCGCCTTGACTGTCCTTATCGTATTTGTCGGGTACTTTTTGTAATTACCTAATGTATTTAATAGACTTCTTTAACTTTCTACAGATTCAATATTAGATTAGAATCCTACTTAGGTTTCGATGCTTCTGTGCAATGTGCCATTCGCATGCATTGACTGCCTTGTTCGTGAGAACAAAATAATAAATCTATGGCATTTAGAGAAAATCGTAAAAGTTGAGGGTAGTACCATACATTCACTCAGGCGTAGAGCGTAGTTGTACGACAAAACAAATAAAGATCACGGATGTAGATTCAAAGTGCGCTCAGCGTTACAAGAAGTGGCTTCTCTCGATTCGGAATGGGATTCGATTATTGAATATCTGAGCAGTAAACTTCATTTGTTTGAGTCAGCTGTTGTGCATGCGGCTATTTTATAGTCATTACTATTTTTAGCATTTGAACCAATTGTTCCGTAACCATTTATGCAAAGCACAGCCAGCCCTCGCGTGTAGATCGAATACTAATTTGTATTGATACGAGATCCTCAGGGAATGTGTTTTTATGTTCGTTCATATACGACTACTAGCGGCCGCCCGCGACTTCGTACGCGTGGATCCCGTTTTACCCCTTTAGGGATTGAATTTTGCAAAATCCCGTCTTAGTGAGCACCTAAGTTCTAAAACCCCCATGCAAAATTCTTCTAGCACTTGTAGTTTCGAAGATTTCATGATGAGTGAGTCAAACAATAAGTGACCTTTCACTTTTATAGATAGAGATAGATTGCAAATAATATTGCGTATAAGAACCCTCTCCCACGGCAATCCATTTTTGCGGGATCCAGTAATGCAGGACCCTGCCCGGGACTGTCGTGTGAACACAAAAGTGTGTGTTTGACATTCGAATTCCAAATTCGAATGGATCGGTTTTTTGCGGGACACTGCAATCGGGGTGTAAATGCTAATATTAAAAATATTAAAATAACAGTGTAGTGTGTGTCGTGAAAGGTACTTTTAACGAGCAAATGCGGTCGTAAATACATCGACATAATGTACGGTGTAATTCATAGCGAGCGACCGCCAGAGTTGACCCCTGCACACTGACACAACCTATGAACAAACATGGTTTGGGCAACCGTGTGTGTTTATAAGATGTAAAATAATAAAAAAACTTTCTTGTACCTAATACTAATCGTCTTTGAAGGATAAGAAATATGGTGTAATGATCTGTGTTGCGAGTAATGTAAAATGCGCGACTACCCTCTTTTAAATTTTTATCAACGCATTTTTAGTGTGGCGGCCATTACTCGCAATTGGGTGGGGTCACTGTAATGTGGCGTAGTCGTTTGCGCGAATTTAATTAAAATTAAATAATTTAAGCTGATTAATGAGTGCATGCATATTGTGTAGTGATTTGTCTATTAATGTGATTATTGTGTTGAGAATGAATTGTTGAAGTGAAACAAGGCGGCATCATGGTAAAAAAGGTCAGGCACTAACCTCTTTACGTTTTAATACTATGAAATTTTTGTGCATTGCTTTTCCTTCTTGTGGATACGTCATTCCTTTATTGTGATTATTATGGTGTTTATGCATTTGTTTAATCAATTTTTATTCCATATCATATCTATGCTATCGTCTATCAAGCAGATCACCGCCTTTTATTGTATTGTCTGCTTACGCATAAGATGTGTAAAATCTCCGTAAGAGAGCCGAGACGGGTTCACATAGGCATGTTTTGCAAATGTATTTGTTATGTGTATGTAGTTTTATTGTACACACATAGAAGCACAGAGGAGGTTGCATTATTCACTCCATGGTAAGAGGTCCTGTGGTAAAAAAGAGTGAGAGAGTGAGAAATTAGCGTTCCCAAAGAAGCTGGGTATAGACAGGACTTTCTCTAAATACTGGAAATCGAATGAAACGGACAGTTGTGGCCTGGCAAAACTGTCTCATTTATCCCACCGTTTGACCACAGCGGGTATGCAATTTAATGATTTTTTCTCCGTTAAAAAAAGCACGTTTTGCGAGTAGTCGAAAAGCGAATACGAATAACCTACAATATAATGAAGTGAGCAGTTAAAATCGATTCGCCACAGCACTCACAGCTGTAACCATTGCTTAACCGACTGACAATGAGGATTTGTTTGTTTATATCGAGAAAGTTGCAAGCGGAACTTAAGTAATAGGAATAAATTATGAAAAAAATACAATAGGTATACCGAGAAGTCGGACTAGAGATAGTGAAGGTTTCGAGTCTTACAAAAATACTTATTATGTGAGAAATAACTTTTTACCTTGACTGTACATGCTTTGTAATTTTTAACCGACTTCAAAAAAGGGTTCATCTGTGATTTTTTTGTGAATATTCACAGATAACTTTGTAAATTGTAGTCTAATTTCTTTGTTTTTTTGTTTGAAGGTGGTCCAGTTGTGTCTGGTGATGGAGTGTCCGGAAAAGCATCGGAAAGGTATGTCAAATTGTGTTTTTGTATAGATTTTTACGTCTTGATTCAAATGCTGTTCAGCTGACACTTCGTAAGGTTAAGGAATTACGGAATAATATTATTATTGCATTGCGAATTTGGCATAAATTGTTAAGCCGTACACCTAGTATAAACACAGCAGTACCGCAGACCCGCAGTTCATGTTCACAATGTTTGTATTATCATAAGCATTGTAGATTTGTATTTACGACAGGCATATCTTATTTGTAAACTAGCGGCCGCCCGCGACTTCGTACGCGTGGATCCCGTTTTACCCCCTTCATCTATCTTACGCGGTTTAGATTTTTTCATACAAATGTTTTTTTCCGCTAACTCCCGTTCCCGTGGGAATTTTGCAATATCCTGTTGTAACTAAGCTTCAAGTTTACTAAGGTACCTGCATGCCAAATTTCAAGCGTCTAACTTAAGCGGTTTAGATTTTTCATACAAATGTTTTTTCCCGCTAACTCCCGTTCCCGTGGGAATTCCTAAGTATCCTATAACCTGCCCAGGAGTATGAAGAATAATTGTGCCAAGTTTCGTTAAAATCCGTCGAGTAGTTTTTGTTTCTATAAGGAACATACAGACAGACAGACAGACAGACAGACAGACAGACAGACAAAAATTTTACTGATTGCATTTTTGGCATCAGTATCGATCACTAATCACCCCCTGATAGTTATTTTGAAAATATATTTAATGTACAGAATTGACCTCTCTACAGATTTATTATAAGTATAGATAAGTAGGAAATTGCTACGTCCTTTACTCAGTCCTTTGTCCGTTTGTTCACACTGAACAAACAGTTAATGAGTTAAAAATTAAACAAACAATACGTTACGTTAATAATTTGAACGCCAAATGAATGATCAATCGATCATTTGTACGATTGTTATGTGACTTAACCCAAAAATTGCGGTCGAAGAGGACAATGGGTGATTCTTCATCATCAAAAGTGATTTTGCGTCGGCGCAAGATCACCAATCTTCGTGACATAAGGACTACTTGACACCAATACTGTTTGCTGGCGCTAAGTATGGTCCGAGTAATGAGATGACGCGAATTTTTGACAGATTTATTAATGAACCCGTAGCTGCATTGCAGTCCACTGTATATGTAACAGTCGTGACGTAACTCATCGTCACTCTTACAAGTGTGAGAAAAGAGTGGTGGCTGTCATAATTGATAGTATAGTATCAGGCGTTTCTTTGCGGAAATCCTTAATATTAGATATTAAAAGTTTATCACTTAGTCATCATTTTATCATCATTTTAATGATCAGAATACAAAATGTAAAGCGGACATTCATTCATAGGTATGTAGCTAATCTAAAAAAAAACAAGAATTAAGTGGCTTAATTTGAAACTTATTTTAAATGTTAATGTATATGCAACCGGACCTCACTTATTAAGCGTTTTAGGATGCTATGGCTTTTATTAAAAGCAGATGTGCTCTGAACATTCCCCTCGGGCTCATTTAAATATTTCAGAGTCAAATGTCAAGGTTATCTGTTACCGGAATAACAGAATTAATAGTGTTTCATAATAGTTCTGATTTATGTTCCACTTATTAGATACGAGGGCTGCACTAAAAGTATCGGGAATGGAATATTTCCACTGTTCCTGTCATATTAAAATCTATTTAATTGCAAACTCCAGGGTTTTAAAAATCGTATACCATTTATTTATTTAACAAAAGATTCTCGGTCGTATCACAAGGTCTTGTCAAACTTGTTTAGTCGTTGAGAAAATGGAATTGACTCGAGAAAATTCAAGAGCGATGATTTATTATGACTTTTGAAGTGGATTAACATAAAAACAGTGTGTTGACCGGATGATTTCTGCATTTGGTAATGAAGCCCCATCCAAAACCACAATTTATCGCTGGTTTCCTGAATTTCAACGTGGACGTGTCAAGCTCAGTGATGATCCCCGTCAAGGTCGTCCAAAAACTGCAGTCACCTAAGAAAACGTTGATGCTGTGCGTAAGCTGATTGAAGAAGATCGACATGTGATGTACCGCGAAATTCAGGCAACTTTAGACATTGGCATGAGTCAAATACAAATAATCTTGCATGAACAATTAGGTGTAAAAAAGTTGTTTTCCCGATGGATACCGCATTCGCTCTGTGAAGAGCAAAAAGCGGCTCGCGTTACTTGGTGCGTCAGAACTCTCGGGAGATTACATGCAGGATCCTCAAATGCTGTATACAACATCGTATCAGGTGACGAATCATGGATATACGCGTACGAACCCGAAACAAAAAACCAGTCACGAGTTTGGGTGTTCGAAAATGAATTAAAGCCAACAAAAATTGTTCGTTCACGGAGTGTTGCAAAAAAAATGGTGGCCACGTTTGTCTCCAAAACCGGCCATGTTGCGACTATTCCTCTTGGGGGACAAAGAACGGTTAATGCAGATTAGTATGCTAGCATTTGTTTGCCACAGGTCGTTTCTGAACTCNCCGCCGTACAGCCCCGACCTAAGCCCTAATGATTTCTATACTTTCCCTAAAATAAAGAATAAATTGCGTGGTCAGAGATTTTCATCACATGAAGAAGCTGTGGACGCCTACAAAACGGACATTTTGGAGACCCAAACTTCCGAATGCAATGGTTGCTTCAATGATTGGTTTCGTGTATGGAAAAATGTGTCAAATTTCGCGGAGAATACTTTAAAAAGCAATAAATACATTTTTAAATAGTAATGTTGTTTCACTTCCTTGATTCCCGAAATTTTCAGTGCCGCCCTCGTATTATTCTAATTCTTCTTAGAATGCATCTAGTGGTTTACTATCTTCTCCTATCCATGGAATAAGAGAGATATCACTAAAGGTGGATTCGACCAAACAAAAGTAAATATTATTATCAGAATAAATCGTCTGTTATTCGACATTTTGACATATTTCCCATACTGAAACTGTCAATGTGCCAGTTATACCAGGAGTTATTCTCAGATAAAAGTTTGGTCAAATCGGGCCTAAATACGAGCATAAGAAGCGTAGAGGTATTCCTCGAAGCACACCTGTGTACTTATACAAAGATTTTGAGCTCTTATATCTGTAGAATATAACCAAGGCAGCCTAACATAGCGCGCTTCGTCGAATAGTTTAGGTGCGCTACATTTGTTGCGTCTCAAAATGGGTGCGCTTAGAGGAATACCTCAAAGGGTTACCTTATCTAAATTAAAATTATGTATAAGCATATTTAATGTAAAATCATATTTTGTTAGCGTTCAGGTTGATATGTCGTCGTCCGGATAAGAATTACCGACTTGAGTTCTACAAATTCATAGTAAACGCTTTCACTTCGTTTGTTTATCTCGCAGGAAAAGAGCACGGCCTTACAATAACCCATAACATAAAACTAGATAAGTCAGGGATTTGCTTTTTGCCTATCTGAGAAAACCACCTTCTCTTTTGCTTGCAAAGTAACGATACAGTTAGTTCTCTCTAAAAGAGGTGAATAATTACGCACTATTTAATCTCCATAGAACACCAACCTCCTCCAACAAAACTATTTGATAATGATTTGTTCCGATTGGGGCCAAACACCTACTCTAATAAAAGTTCAACATAGCTGGTTGATCGAAGTATTGCATATGAATTACCTGTGCTATATTATTTTATTTAGTGGTTAAGCTTTAACATTCTTTCTTAAAGGCACTGTCCCTGGCATTTGTTCGCCTTAATGTGAATTTGTTTTAGACCCTTTCAGTTTTCGACCTCATAAATGAAGGCAGGTAGCCATCCTCTAAATAAATATTTGCCTTTAAAAAGTTCAAGTACATTCAGCGTCAACTAGATCGTGACACCTAAAGTAACCAAAAAATTCGCAACACGTATTTATTACTATTGGAATAAGGAAGTCAATTTTTTGACCACTGTGGGTGTCACTAACTGTTTGCCGCTGACTGTACGTTATCGTTCGTTCGTTCGTTTCAGCCGAATGACGTCCACTGCTGGACAAAGGCCTTCTCCAAAGTTTTCCACAATGAACGGTCCTGCGCTACCCGCATCCAGGGTCTTCCCGCGACCTTCACCAGATCGTCGTTCCACCTAGTAGGAGGCCTGCCCACGCTACGTCTTCCAGCCCGTGGTCGCCATTCGAGAATTTCTGCCCCAACGGCCATTGTCTCTACGAGCTATGTGCCCCGCCCACTGCCACTTGATTTTAGAAGCAATTCTGCGAGCTATGTCGGTCACTTTGGTTGTACGTTATCATCGGCTTCCTACCTATCGCGGTATTACTTTAAAACATTAAAACTCAATTTCCCCAACAACTCAATAAACAATTGCGTTTTTACTTCGAGTCGTACATATTAATTATTAATGACACAGATAACATCTATACCCTTGTCGTTAAATCAGTAGTGAAGTATCTGACTCAATTTTACCGTCGCCTGGTGTCATCATGGGCACTATATTTGGTCCGCGGGACCTCATCGGTTCACCTTGAGGTTTCACAACCGATACGTCTTTTGTTATTATGAGTTTGGTAGCAAGGAATGTAATTTAATTAACTTTTGTTGTAAATTGATATCCAGTGGCTGTTTACGTTGATTAAAGTTTATGGTTATTCTTGTTTTATGAATTTATTGATTTTTTTAAAATTTATTTGGCATATTTTTTACTAGTAGGAGAGTAATTACTCTCCATTTCACTACTCTATACAAAAGGACAAATATGAAGTAAATTATGTTAGTAGACTGTCTTAATAGGCATGCATGACCAGCTGATAATTTTTGATCTAGTTACGAGTATGGTCACTGAATATGTTATTAACTATTATGCTGTCATACCTACTATGCTAAATTTGTAATTGCAACCACTTAATTAACCGAATGTATTGTAGCTAATATATTAATTAGGAACAGGATGATTTAAACAATAAAATTGTATAATAAATCATTGATACCGCGTCCTATCTAGATGGTATCACAATTTAAAGGAGCGAACGTTATCGTCATGAAATATGAACTAATCT